TTTTGGTTAGTAAAATACCATTTACTGGTACTAATGTAAATTATGTTTTTTAATACTTGTTACATTGCTGTTTTCTTTTTGGTTAGTAAAATACCATTTACTGGTACTAATGTAAATTATGTTTTTTAATACTTGTTACATTGCTGTTTTCTTTTTGGTTAGTAAAATACCATTTACTGGTACTAATGTAAATTATCAACAGATACAGTGAAAAATTTAATGACTATCCCCACATTTCTTTGTCTCATTGCTGGAAAAGTCCATTCATTGTTAATTTGACTAACTTTGTGACTAAAGTTTATAGCTAAGAAACAAATCTGATTACAAGATACAATAATGTCAAAGGTGCAAAACACCTGACAAGTTATTCAAAATCAGCAACTGTTCAAAGCATCTTCTTTAGTTTTGCTCTTCCTTAAAATCAGTTTGGTAAAAATAATAGATACCTAATGTGTTGATCACAGCTTCTTGGAGAAGTGTTTCATTCTCATGGTCAGCAGGCGTTGTATTCTTGACATCTATAGAGTTTCGAAGATGATTTAGAAGAGAGTTAAAAATTTCAAGCACTGATGGGCCTGGAAAAAAAAAAATTAGAAAGAAGCTATATAGACATTATTTTTTTACACATCTTTATAATTTATGACTAAGAATTTGGTTATTGTAATAGTTTATTAAAACATTAATTATGTAATTGATTAACTATATAGTTAAACTGAATTATTTTCTTAAAACCAAATTAGCTTTTGTAACAGAATTAAATGTTTCTAGTTCAGTGTTTTATCAATGAGCTAGCTGATCTGACTAATTCTAGATTTACCAAATAGTTAGGAATAAATCTGATTCAATAACTTATCAACTAGCTACCTGATCCTAACTGATTCTAGATTTACCAAATAGTCAACTAATTAGACATTTTATTAACCTGCAATCAGTAGAAAACTAACCAATACTCTCTCCAGCTGCTATAGCAACAATGTTTGAGAGGACGGTGACAATGCCTCGGCGTACTTTAGCATCGGCACGTGGACGAGCACTAGGTTTTCTCTGTCCTGAATCATCCACTCTAGACTTTTCATCTAGGTGACTCATAAGAAGCTGAATGACAGCATAGGAATACTGTGCCTGTAGATTATCAAAATACTTTTAGAAAAAACTGGTTGAAAATGAAATCTTCAGAGTATTATACATTTCAGCATTGCAAAATAACTTACCACAAAATAACTTCAATCAGATATTTATAAAATCATTTTATATTCAATTATAGTCAGCATATTCATAATTAAAAAAATAATCAGTAACTTTGTATAATATTCTAACATTTAAAGGTTACAACACGATACTATTATTTTACAGTTAACAATAACAATGCACATTCCAGTACTTTAACAGAATCATTTGAAATGTTTACAAGACAAAATTATTTTTAAATTAACATTTTTCTAACTGGAATGTGAAGTTGATCTATTAATATTTTTTAACATTACTGCAAGTTTTGCACCATGAATGTGACTGTGTTGGCTCTAATAACCACCTCACCAGTAAGACAAATAATTCCATCTTTATGAAAAACATTTTCTGGAAAAATGAAAATCTGTATTGTATAAAAAACTTCTTTTTCTATGTTAACAGGAAAAACAGATAATTTATTCCTTACAGCTCACCTGAATAGAATACATGATAACCTTAAACATGTGGATTGCACTTTCTTTTACCCAAAGTTCATGATTATCCAAATGCCTGTTTAAGTGAAAAGAAAAAAAAAGAATACACTTGTTAAATATTTTTTCTCTTAAAGCAAGATACAATTATTACTCTGAAATATATATATATATATATATATATAAATCATTATTCTACAATTAACTGTAAAGGTGTTCTTCAAACTTGAAAATATTGCATTATGAATACATGAAGCTTGTAATACACTTTTTTCAAGCAATAGAAGCTGATGCGATACACTAAATCTACACACACACTTTTACAAAAAAAACAACAACATTTCCTTTACTTTGTTATTCAAAAGGCTGTGGCAGAGATACTGAAAAGATGGTATATTCCTCATATTTTTGGTGTAACTGGAAGTATATACTTTGGAAGTTTTCTACAATCAATATAACCCTAATGATTTTTTTTCCACGATGCCACTCACCCACACAAACATATACTAGCAATATCCTCTACTAAAATGTTTCCTATAAAAAAACACACAGCATACTTAAGAACAGGGCGTATCACAGATCGGATATGACCAAAAGTAGCCCGGCTCATCAGTTCTCGTAGACAGTTTTCAGCCAATGTCCATGGTGTGGTCTCATCTTGTGGGGAATCAGGGGTCTCACTGGATACAAAATCATATTTTCATGTACAAAGATAAAAATTGAAACACTGACTACATTCATAATTCATTCTAACGGTTTGAGGTATATATATTTCCATCTAAAACACTTTAAATTTCAGCCTTATTTATCTATTATTGTTCAGAATATTATAGAGAAACAAACACAAGGAAATTAATTGAATTTCTATAAGTCAGAAACTTTGTAAAATAAAAAATTGGAACCCTGCAAACATAGTATATTCACTGTGTTATGTAATTTATACAGTCCACACACTATATAATGTTTTCATGTTATTACTCTGTGAAATAAATACAAAAACAAGTAAACAATAATTTAGACAAGGATTTCCCCAAATTTTATAAACTAGGGCAGTGTTTCCCTATTTAATATTTCACTTCAACTAATTTCAGCTAAAAAATTGAAAAATCAACATTAAAAGACTGAATGAAGTAATGAAGTAATATATGTTGTTTTCTGTTTGTCATTAGTGTGCTTGCTGCTGTTCCTTTTCACTAATTAATTTTCTATTCTTGGGCAAAGAGAAGTTACTGATAAATGCAGTGCACTACTAGTAATCAGATGATTTCTTTGCCTTGTTTTTATTATCGTCATAGCCACAAGATTTGCTGAGTGGAATGTGTTAATAAGGAAGCAACTCAAGATGTCAATCCCTGATGTCGTGAAATGGCCCACATAAAAGCCAGGTGTGAAATCAAATAACTCTAACTGCTGGATAAAAAAAGTTCAACTGAGGCAGATGTAAGAGAGATGGCTAAGGAAGATGGGGAAGAGGTTGACACTCCTGAAGCTGCTGGAGGAGTAGAAACCAAGGTGGACCCACCCAATATGGTGCCATTAGTAGAACTCGACAGGACATGGAGTAAATCAGTGCTAGAGCTGTGGCGAGCAGATGAATCAGGAGGAATGCACAAACATGAAGACCGTCCAATCCTGACTGAGAGCTTCTACTCCCAAAGCCAGAGGGCAAGGTACTGGATTCCAGAAGAATGGGACCCAAGTATTCCAATGTGCAAAAACCTCAATCTGTGGTATCCCAAGAAAAGAGGTGGTAAAGGGACACCTATAGTTGGGTTGTCCCTGTTCAACCACCAGCTGAGATCCAGCACACCTGTGAAAATGTTCCACTGGTACTGTAACCACCATGATGAGCTTTCATGTTTGCCCAATCTAAAGGAATGAATGTTTCCAAGGATGCTGAGGAAGTGAAGATGACACATAAAATTCTGACTATCTGGTAAAAAACATATAAAGCAGATGCGAGTTCAAATGGTAGAGCATGAAACTAGAATACCTGGTTGTTGTGCACAAAATGGAGATAACACCTTGAAGACTTGGTGACCAGGATGTGAAGTTAAGCATTTATGACATCAAATTTTGTCATCCATAGTCTGGGTGAAAAGAGCCACTGAAGGTACAGAAGCGACTCCATTGGAAGCAATTGAGACTAGAAAAGCCAATGACTGGTTGCTAATCACCCATCTTTTTCAGTACTACAAACAGCCAAGAATAAAAAGTCCTCAAGAAAGGAGGTGACGAGCTCTATGGCCTTGTTGTGCATAAGATCCTAGATAGCTTGTGCTTGATGGTTGGTTGTAAGAAGGTTTTTGAAGAGTGCAAAGCCAACAGGTATGAGAGACAGAGGAAAAGAAGACGTGGACTAAATGCCCAATTCCCTCTGAAAAAGCTGAATAACTCACTGATCTGTGGTGAATGTCTTCCATACAGCGACGAACCCTCTGAGATGAGACCCCACAGGACCTGACCCCATAGGGTTGTCTCTGATGGCAAAATCTGTGTTCCACCTTGGAGGACGAACCCCACTGGTAAGGTGGAAATTACCCTTATGTTCCAATGGATCATGGTGCCAAAGTAGGAGGTCTGAAAACATGAATGGGAGATGCAGTAAAACATCCTGTAGAAAACCTTTGAGATAGATGAGAAGCCAGTATAGAAAATGAAGAATGTAGATGGGCCACATCTACTCAAGGCTCAATAGATTCTGGAATTCCTGCAAGAAAAAAGACTGTCTCAGAAAAAGAGCTTCTCTCAGATCCCTAAGGGCTGATGCAGGAAGGCAAACTCCCTCTAATAAGGCATCTCTCTCCAAAAGATCCCAGCAATGAGTCAATCAAGATACCAAGGAGAGAGCAGAAACATATAACCTGACCAAAGTGGAAGTCAATAAATGACTAACATCCTCCAAAATTTAAGCAGGCCTCATACAACAGTTGCAAAAATGATAAGTGACTGACAAATTCTGGAAAACTGAGATTGTGCAAGATGAACAGTGGTATCTTGTTGAGAGCCCCAAATAAGAAGTAGAGGGTCTAATCTTTGAGAGTCCAAATAAGGGTTCACCAGGCAATGGAAAGCTAAAGCATGTTGATCCAATAAATGAGGAGGACAAAGCATGGCAGCATCCTCCCTCAAATAATCTGCAAATCTCCTTGTATACACTGCAATGTCTGGCAAAGGTGGAAGGACCAGGTAATCTGATGAACTAGTTTCTTCCAGTAAAGAAGGTAAAGATTCATAAGCCACAGGATAAATACTCAAAACATTATTAACATGACATACTAGTTGTAAAAAATGGTACAAGAAGCAGGATGTCCGAGCAAAGAAAGGTACTGGAAAAATAAAGTCTAAATTCTTACTAGTCTGCTCTTGATCTCACACAAACTCAGCCTCAGAGCCAACAGAAGAAGAAACATCAAACCATATGTAAGAATCAACCATTCTGTATATAAAGAACTCCAATGCCTGGGTAATGTTACAATCATGAGGTGGTAGAAGAGGGCATCAGGCAACTCTGTGTCCTAGACATGAACATGAGTATTCATATTAAAAAAACCCAATAAACTCAAGCTCCACAAAAAATATTTAAAATAATCCAAAAGAAAACATTGCAAATGTAGTAATAGTGCTAACAGAAACCTGCAGTAATCATGTAAGACTGTCTTCATAATTTTTGTCGTTGAGAAAAATAAATTAGAAAGAAAAAGGGGAGCTTGTATACATATCAGTTATAGAGAGAGCATTGACGTAGATGGAGAGAGTCACAAGATTAAAATTACTAGGGGCAATATAGTTGGGTATGAAGACTGGAGCAAGCCAGAAAGAATTCATACCATGGAGAGAGTCACAAGATTAAAATTACTAGGGGCAATATAGTTGGGTATTAAGACTGGAGCAAGCCAGATAGAATTCATACCATCGCTTAGCAGACAAAGAAAATAATCTTTTGTCAGGATAAAGCTAAAGTGTAAGAGGAGGTAAGTGTGTTTCAGAAATAGTTACTTATTGATAGCCTTATTAGTTAGTTTTAAATTGTTAAGAAATTAAGATGTAAAGCAGGAATTGTAATGTGCTGAACTGCTTTGTGTCTCTGATACTTTCTCTCAAGTGGAGAAAGAGTGCACACTTTGTATAAGGTCCTGATTTCAATTCTGTTACTTAGTTTCCTATATTAGGTATGAACAGATGTAATTTACATACCCGTGATTCCTGCCTACAGGTGTTTTGTTGCAAGGTGTGGCATGTGTGTTTGCAATTTTTTTTGCAACATGTACAAGTCTCTGAAGAAATTGTCTTTCTATGTTTATATATCTATATCTATTTTCAGTTGCTCTAATTAATTGCTCCCAATTTTCTTGCTAATTTTAATACTGGTTACAAAAAAAAAGCTCAATAATGTTTTTCTTCAACAATATTTTTGTTACTGCGCTTCACACTGGACAGATGTAATTAGAACCTTTATATATTCTAACCTTTCAATGATTCTTCACAGTCTTTACTTCCTGATGAAAGGGACCTGCCCAAACTTTGCACAAAATAAAACTAAAAAAAAGTTTTTATTTTTATATGTTAATTTATCATTTATTATCGTTTATTTGAGTCATTCTGTCTTTCTTTTGAGAGTTGTTTTTTTGGGGGGAGTTTATTTATTTCATAGTTTTTATGTAATGTTGATCAGGAAAATAGACATATGAACACCAATATGGTATCACTCCACTAGAAAAAAAAAACCTTAGCTGGCATTCTATTTTGTTTAAACCAGAATGGAACAAAATAAGGTGTTCCAAACTTCTGAAAAGGAGTCAACAATTCTGGTTCTATTCAGAGTTGAACTGAAATGGAAAAATAAAAATAAAATCCAGTTTAGATTAGTTGTTTGAAATAAAGACTAAACACAACAACAGGCTTCCAATACAAGTGTGATATCTAAATGACCACAATGGATAAGTGAATAGGTAAAATACATATTCAGATTTGGGTTTTTCACATAATAAATCACACAGATAATAATGAATAAACTGATGCAAGATGTCTGTTCAACTTCTATAAAAATGCTTGAAACATTAAATATGAAGTAAATAACTTTCTTAACTAGAATTGTTTTCAAATATGAAAATGATTACACACAATACAGCAATCTGTAACACTGTCTGAAGTTCTTTTGAAGGTATAGTATAAACACTAACAGTAGTGGTACAGCTGTTATTTTACAAAAAAATACAACAAAACATCAACAAACATAAAAGTTTATTTATGTACCATGATAATAAAATACTTTAATTAAATTTTGAATGTAACATACTAAAATCTTGTGACATGCACTTTAGCAAGAGGGTTAAAACAATGGAAGTTTTAATAATTGGTTAATTTTGACTGCATTTTGCTATTGGACTATTTGTGAACTATAAGAAGAAAACAAAGGTTTCCAATGTGTAGCTATGTGAATACATAAAGTTTGAATGACTGAAGTCACAAGTAATACTATATAACTTGTTAACACAGACTTTCCCAACATAAAGTGACCTATGGTAGTGTAAAGTCATGTGTAGTGTTTAAGTAAACACACACATTTTAATGTTCATTGGTAAACATAATTTTAGCTCTATGACTTATATTTTACAAATACACTAATATATTTGATAATATTTGGCTGTATTAGTTATGGAGATAGAAAATTCTTTTTTAAAATTAAATGTTTTATCATAAATCATATGGTAGATTTGACTGATAACAAAATACTGAAACTTAAAATAAAAAATAAAATAACCAAAACATTATAAGTAATTAGCAATTATTAGTTGCTAAATCTTATTATAATGGAGTTTGTGATGTATACGTCCAAAACTCGGATCTTGGAAACTACCACACCGATCATCACCAATCATAACTGGGTAATGTTTTTATAACTAGGCAGTACTTTTATAGCTGAGCAATAAATAAAACAATTGAAATTTCCACAAAAATGTTTCAGATTTAACCAATAAAAATTACAAACAAAAAGGAGTAAGTTTCAGATTTAACCAATAAAAATGACAAAAAAGGAGTAAGTTTCAAACATAAAAAAATCATAAAACAAACTTAAAAACAATTATTTGTTTTTTTTTAGTGAAAATCTCATGAGTATTGCAACAGAAAAGCAAGATACTTTCATTGATAACTGCATCTACAAAGAAATACTTCAATAAAATCTACTCTTGATGTAATTCTGTGATGATAGCTCATTTTTAACCTAAAATTTCAATAAAATCTTTTTTTCATGGATAGTGAACATTATTGAATGTCAAGTATAAGTATATTGTTGTAGAACTATCAAACAATTCCAGAAAAGGTTGCAAGCCCAATAGCCTTCCACGGGAACCAGCAATTATTCTTGCCCAGAGGGCGAGTATTTCTGCTAGTTTATGATAATACATGAACAATAACAAGAAAAAATGTTAAAATTTAATAGAAGAAAGAAATTTAGTATGAAAATAGCACCTGACAAACTTATAATAATGCTTACAACAATAACAAGAAGAAATGTTAGGATTTAATAGAAGAAATAACATTAGTAACAAAATATCACCTGATAAATTGTGACACAAAATTTAACTACTCTTTTCTTAAAAACTTACTAATTTTCCTGCATGTTAAACAATAAAGAGGGTATTATCTTTTCCATGTGTATCTCATCCCAGATATTCACTTGAAGGTCATCACTGACAGTTTTTCTCACTACACCTTGCAACCCTTTCAGTCCAGCAACACGCAATCTGAAATATAAAAAGCACACAGGGATAATAATTATCCTCATAGTAGTGGTATTCACAGTTTCACTGATTTCCTTTTGAGTAATCTGGTAGGAGCTGCAGAATAATAAGAATTTTAGAAGCGAACAAAAGTTATCATTTTCTTACTCTGAAAATGTATTTCTGATAGGTACTTACTTCCTCCCACTCAAAGCTATCTTGATCCTGGTCTGCCCTCTAAGAATTGCTAGAAAAAATTTTGCTACAGCACACCACTCTTTACATCCCATCAGTTTTGCACCATTTCAGAATGTCCTGATCATGTGACTACTCTCCACCATTTGTAATGTGCCATCTATACTGGCATAGCTAGCTCCCTCTACTATTCTAGAACAATCCTCACTTTCAAGAACTGGCAGGCGCAACCCATAAACACTGGCATCTCAGTGGGGAGGAAGGGTGGGAAGTGGGTGAGAGGAGGTAAGCACCTATCGGAAATACATTTTCAGAGTATGAAAATGTTACATTTTCAGAATTAGAAACTATTAACTTCCTGAACAGTACTACCTCTTCTCACCTAAACATGGAATCCCATATTGCAAAGGTAAAGGGGCTGGTGAAAGTTCATCAATCTCAAATCAAAGAGAAAGCAGCCACACTGAAAGAATAGGAGTGCTAGAACATGAAAGGAAAACACACCAGTGGGGTACAGCACTACTTTTGGAACAGGTAGGTTCTTCACTCAGCAATTAATACAGTAATACAATTGTGGCAGAACTGAATTGACAGGCACAAATGAAGTCAATAGAGAGACTTACAGCACTGAATCAGTGTAGAAAATGCTGGGAAAATATGGCATGTATGGTGTTGACAAACATAGCAAGGTTTGTGTGTATGCAACCACTTTCTCTTATATGTATATGCCAAGGGAAGTGCCTTGGGCTACATCAGATTATGCAAAGTGTGGTCCATCCGGGCAAAACATCCAGTGAAAATGCCTTGTATAAGATATAGTGATCAACAAGTGTGGTCCACCAAGGCAAAAACATCTAAGGGAAGTGTCTTGGATATGGAGGATTATGAAACATATAAATTACTATTATGATTGCAATTGTGAGGGTCATCATAACTAGCCCTCTGTCCACATCCATGTCATAACGAGCTATCGTAAGAAACAAGACATAGTACGGAACATACTGATAGCGAGTCATAGTCTAGCGACAGTAAATGAGCTAGAGAAAATACAAAATGAGAACCAGAAGTGGTAAGGCCTCCTGTATTCCACTAGAAGAGAAGGTGCATTAGGGAGTCTAGAGGAACGACACACCAAAGACAGTGAAATGAGTATCTGAGACTCCCTATTTTGAAAAGCAGATAGACCCTGATTGTAGGAATCATGGGTCAGTAGGGATGGGCAGAAATCCCCCATCTGCTTTACTCATGAACTCTATGAGTGATAGTCCTTTATAAATGAAACTAGTAACTTTCATTTAAAAAAATATAGATACACATACCACTGGACAAGCTGCCAGTGGTCTTACAGAAACACCCCATCTCAACAGTGAGCCTTATAGAATTATTCATATTTAGTGCATATATAATATAAAGAATACCTGACTAGGCAACACCTGCTACCAAGTGGGGTCCTGAAATATGATATGTATCAACTTAAAATATATAAGAAAAGTAATACGTCGAGTTATCCCAGTCAAAGATGAACAGAATCACCACAGGAAGAATGACACAGCCAGGTTGTGTAGATAATGGGCTACATATGTAATGGGAGTTGTCCATATCTCAGCCTGAATGATCTGCTCTACAGGCCAGCAAGGAAGAGCAGCTAAAAACATAGTTGGATGATGAATTGGGTATGAAGAAACATTGTGCAGATGGCAACCTTCCTGGGACAATTCAGAATATGCCAGTCATATGAGTTTACGAATCCAACCGGTGAGTGAAATAAGGGACATATCACGGGACACAGAGGAAATCTGTGGAACAAGTAGACAGATATTATAATATGAAAGGAGGCAGAATGAGCCACGTAACATCCCAGGGAATGAACCAATTATCCAGAGCTGAATGGGAATACTGATGGGAAATGGAAGGTATAGAAATAGGAGAAAAGACCAAAACACCTGCCCAGATAGCAGATGTCTAGAGAAGGAAGGCCTGATCAGGATAGAGAATAAAAGAGGAATGATAAAGGATGCGGGAAACATCAATGGCATAAATATTGGAATAACAATGCCTGCAAGCAAGGAGGAGGAGGAAGAAGACTTAAGGGAAAGATGATATAAGGAACAAGTATCAATGGGTTAAAATGGAACACTGGACAGGGTATGAATGACAAAATTGAGATCCAATATGGCAGAAAAAAAAGGACACGGAGGATGGACAAGATGAAAGGAGTGGAAAAGGAAAGATATTACAGGAGATGAGAAAGCTTTCCCAAATGGGAGAATCTGAAAGTGTTCAACACGGCAGCCCTATAACTAGAAACAGTTGACACAAGGGTGAGTCTCTGAGCTGAGGCAAGGGTGTGGACAAAAGCCACATGTGAAGATAGAGTTTGGTGAAGTCAGAATGAACTATGTCTGAATGTGGTTGTCAAAGGAAAGACTAGGACCGAGAAAAGGGGATGCCTTTCTAGTAAGGGCCAGAGTAGAGGGGATTACATCTGAGCAGGCCAATATGGAGCAATGGGCAGGACAGGACAAGTGGTCTGGATAAGGGAAAAACTCTGGATAGGAGTCTTGGAGGTTAGGCATATAGGTGAAAACCCCTTCAATCCTGACTGAACACATCTAACCCCAGAGCTGAAGGATATGGAACCAGAGACCAAAAGGAAGGAATTTTGGCCTTCCAGTGAGTGGCAAGAAGGGACCACACTGTGAGGAGAATCTAGTTGGGTTGAGATAAGCAAGCAGCCATCAGATTCATAATGCTGGGAATGTGACATGCCAAGATTGCTATGTAGTGGTCATGGGTCAAGTAAAGAAGATTCAGAGGGATCTGGATTTGGTTCCCCTTTGCTTGGTGACATAGCTGACAAAAGTGAAATAGTCGGAATGAATCATAGCCATCTGCCCCCTCAGGAGTGGGAGGAAATGATATAGAGCCCAGTGAAATTCCAAAGTTCCAGGATGTTGAAAATGGAGAGTAACCTCTTTGACAGAAAATTGAACAAAAATTTCTTGGGAATCGAGGAAAGCCCCCAACTCACAAAGGAAGATCAGTAAGCAGATGAGACTTCAGAGAAGGTGGAGGAATGGAAATCCCCACCATGGTCCACAATCAGATGAAAACCAATTATAAAATAACAGAAAACAAATGAAGAGCTTCAAATGTTATTTAAATTATGCATAAGACAAAGAGAGAGAAAGTAGAAGAGGTGCTGCTACTGCAATAATACAAACAGTCAGTAAGAAGACTTAACAGACAGTTAAAGGTGATAAGTGTTACCTGCAATCATATAGAAGGAAACCACTTAGAAAAACAAATATTAGTGAAAGCAAAAAGTGCAGTACTGCTGCAATAAATTAAAAAAAAGTCAGAACAACCACAATGCTAAAATGACACTTAATGGACTAATACTCATGATGTTCTAACTTCTAAAACAAAAAATATGTTTTAGGAAATTTCATATGCAAGTTTCATGAAAGAATAAAAGATAGCCTGAAATTTACTGTAAAAGCTGTAACTAAGAAAAAAATTTTAACATGCATTACTCTTAAATACTTTTGCAGATTTTGCCAGTAGTTTTGGTAGGTAGGATAGTTAATACTTATTAAATAATTATCATTTTCAATGTATTTTAAACTAACTTTTGATTTGACTGCTATTATTGGCTTATTTTAAATGTATCCAAGTCATTTCAGATGTTTGGACTCCAAGGAGCTGATTATTGAACAAAAACAGATCAATAAATAGTTTAACAAAATACTGAAATTACATATAGTTTAAAGGTAAATCATATACTTTTTTTACACAACTGAATACTTCTTAGGTTCTTCCAGGTTAGGAAAATATATTCTAGAAAAGAGTATCTGGATGGCACTCAAAAAGCTATTGCAATATAATATTTATAACTAGAAGAATGTGAAGGAACAAACTTCTTCCACTTAGTTAAGATATTCTTGTTTTCTCGTAGGTGTGTTTTTTTTGTTTTTTTTTTAAGAATTTTGTGCAAAGCTACACGAGAGATACCTGTGCTAGCCATCCTAATTTAGCAGTGTAAGACTAGAGGGAAGGCAGCTAGTCATCACCACCCACCGGCAACTCTTGGGCTACTCTTTTACCAACGAGTAGTGGGATTGACCATCACATTATAACCCTTTCATGGCTGAAAGGGCGAGCATGTTTGGTGTGGCAGTACTGAACCCACGACCCGCAGGATACGAGTCGAGCGCCCTAACTACCTGGCCATGCCGAAGCACTCGTAGGTGTGAAACCAACAACCGTTAACATTTACTGTAGTCTTAACTGATTATTCTAGTTTATGATAATAATCTATATATATAAAAGAGGAAGTTTGTTTATTTTGTT